AAACTCAAAACAAAATCAAACGAAATTGAGAGGCCAATAGCTAAACTGTGTCTGGTACATGGTGTTTAAAATCACAAAATAGAGCAAAATTATTTGTCTCCTTTCTGTTTTTGAAAATTAATTGCTATTACTGCTTACCATGCCAATTAGGGGCAGGTTTATATGGAAATATGTATTTTTCTTTGTGTAATTGGTTTTTGTGTCCACGAGGGGGCGCATTCATCTTTTATATGAATAATGAGCTCAGGGTTGAGTGCCAATGTGACCCAGAAAGGCAAATTGGTTTTTGACCACAAAAGCGGAATTTGCTTTTCACTGTTTCTCGTGTGATACCAGTGTGGATCCTTTTAATAGCACTGTAAAATAAATTAAGATCATTGCATCGTACCCTTTGAAGCCTAAGGATTTTATTGAGCACAACAGAGCAACTAAGTACAGCATAGCCGCTTAGTGCGTCATCAACAAGCCTGGGTCTACATTCTCACACTAGCAGCATAGGGCTGGCTAGTATAGATTAATTCAAACAGACCCAAGTCCACGTGAAAAAAGTCGATCCGCATTCTTCCTCTTAGGGAACTAGTGCGTCACATATTTACACCCAAAACACATTTTCTCCAAGTTGATGTGATCCTATCGCTGACAAAAGCAGATTAACAGTAGCTCCATGTGGTGTTTGTGGGACCAAACCACAGACATAAACTGGACTCGAGAGACGGACTTGGGAACTGGTTGCGTGCTCTGTTTCGATCTGTCAATCACCTCCCAGCTTTTAGTATAATTATTAGTTTTATTATTTTTGACAACAAACAGCATACTTATTGTGTATTGTTTTTCCTGTTTTGACGACAGTATTAAAAAACATTTTAAACAGGCTTCTGCGCGTCATAATCGTCATCAGTGTGGATATCGTCACAGATGTGGGTCCGGGCGTTTCACTGCCTCTCGAGGAGGAAGGAGACCGATCGCTCTCTATCTAAAGATTGACAGAATCAATGAAAAAACTACTCTGGGCATGTGTATGAAGGCCAAATAGCACTGTAATGTTTAAAGCAGAGAAAAGTCAAAAAGCGTAATATGGGACCTTTAAGAGTCAATGTCCAGATGTCCACAGACTCTCAGCCGCAACCACTCCACCACAGCTGCACCACTTATAGGAGACGTAATCTGCAGAATCCACTTTTTCACTTTTCTCCATGTTACAGCATTGTCTCTCTCATCAGTCACAGATAGAAGTCAATAGGAGCCAGAGCGAGTTGGAAAAAAACCTTGTCGATGAGCACTTCCCTATCAGGCTTCATTGAGCTAGCGGATTAGCCTTGTTCACTTGTATACGGTCTATGATCAACACATAAATGTATACTTTTCGTTATATTATGAGCTCAAAGGCTTGTCCTCAAATCACACCATATACCGTTTGTACCTGCTTAAATGAGTGGAGCTAGTTTTGTTTGTCATCTGATTTGAATTTTCATCTGATAAACTGTTCTACTTAAGGGGTGTTTTTCTGAGAGCGTTTTCTTCATGCACTTTTCATAATTGTCTTATTTTTCTGTGGTTTGTAAAAATCTGCTTGGGTTTTGAAAAACTAAAAAATAAACATTGGGGTCATGTGTATTTTTAATGAGGAATATTTCCTCTTTAATTTTGTATGGGCTTTTGCCTATGGGCCAATGGAGGAAATGTTATAAGGACACATATGAGTACATGTGACCTGTAATGGGAGGACACATACTGTATATGTGTACATGTGACCTTTTATCTGGGGTCACATGTGACCTGTCATAAGGACAAATATGTACATGTGACTTGTGGGGACACACATAGGTGTGACCTGTTATCTGAGGACACAGAAGAGGGATCGATTACATACACTCAATTTTAAAATACTTAGACTCAAGTCCTGATTGAAATTCCACACAACAGTCTGTTTCCACCAGCTCAACTTGGTCCTACAACTAGAACCATATTGTGACATCAACATAGTGCTTTAATGCGGAAGAAGCCGATTTGAACATAAGCTAGCTGAAGCCAATTTTGGTATAAGGTCATTTTGGAGGAGTTGGCTTTGCGGCTTAACCAGCTAAGGTGATGGCTGAGGAAAACTGGAGATTCCCCTTATGACTTCTTTGTCATATATTTGTGGCGCCACCCTCAGGTGAAAGCCACAAACCTCTGAAGCAAAGCAGGGCAGAGCCTGGTTAGTACTGTGATAGAAGAGCCCCAGGTGCCATAGTGTTGTTGTGTCCTTCACAGAGGAAAAGTCAATGTTGCAGGTTCTAACAGTACATCTCAGAGTTAAAGAGCATGAGTTTAAGTAAATTTACATTGGACCAGTGTAACTCCAAATTACACCCTCTGAGACAATGTCAAGACGTCCACGGCTGCTCTTTATCACTGCACTCTAAGAAGAATCAATTATCCTCTGTGGAAAATATACCAGAGGGGAACCAGAGAGGGAGACCAGAGAGAGACGAGAGGGAGACCGAAGAGACCAGAGAGAGACAAAAGACACAAGAGACTAGAGCGAGAGACCAGAGAAAGAGAGACCATGGAGTGGACGTGGGCAAAATACGGCCCGCCAAGCAATTTAATTCCGCCTGTTACGCATTTTTAAGTCAAGAGCAAATCAGATCCACCTCTCTCAATTCTTCATCCCTGAAGCATCACCTAATAATTCATCACATAATGTTACAAGTTCTGGTATGTTTATGTTACAAACAATATAGGCCTATAAATCGTGAAATGGCATAGGAAATTGTTGTTTGGTTGTTAGCACTTCACAATCTGAAATCATTCACAAGAAATAAATGATTATGGTTATTACGAAATTATGAATTCTTGTTAGGCTATGGTCAAACTTAAAAAATATATATTTAATTTATAGCCAAAGAAAATTACTTAATGGGCATGCATAAAGTCATTAACTAGCCAAAGAGAGCGGTGTAAAATAACCAGTAAGTAAGCAAGGATTTGGACCCCGTTATAGATCAGTTATTGGAGGCCATGATGTTCATTGAAAACTAGGCTGATTCTTTCATTTCATTTTTGACTATGGGTTTGTTTTATTTATTTCAATTTGGACTCAAACAGAGAAAAAATAGTATTAGAATTGTATGTTGATTGGATCTGGCACTACATTACTTTCACATGACACTGGGACAGTATTTTCAAGATTACATTTATTGTGCTGTACAGAATGTAGTTAGGATTTAGTGCTTAGACCCCGGCAGAGCACTGCACGATTGCAGAAGGGGAAAGAGATTATGAGATGAAATCCCCCAGGGCCTAGACCCTGGTGGTGGGAGCTACGAGAAGGATGAAGGAGCTGGCCTAGAACAAGGCGGAGATGGGGAGGAGGGTTGCGGCATAAATGAAGCTGCTGCTTGGATGGAGCTTTTGCCTGTCATGAAGCTGATGCGGGCAGTGCCTGATTGCTGCAGGTGAGGATTTGCGTGAGGCACTGCGCGGGTGAGTGTGAGTGACTGATTGCGAACTGAGGGCTCTGGGAGCGCTCAGAGCTGGGTTCGCCTGTCTTCCATTCTGAATTTGCGCTTACGCTTCATATGTAGTCAATAAATGACATTCTAAAAACTGTGAATATGATATTACACAATTCCTGTCTAGATTGAAATTAACAACTAAAAAGTGCTCAACCTGATCCACCCAAATGGTGTCCCTTATTATTCTGTTCTTAAGGTGACAACGCTAGCTACGCTCCAAAAGTAACATCAGAATCAGAATATTTTTTATTTCCACGTAAGTAACAGGAAGTCACAGACTTGGAAATTGCTTTGGCTCGGTGCAACAGTCAGAAAGAGAGGTAAAGGGTAGAGGAGGCATAATAAAAAAAAATAAAAAAAATAAAAAGCACTTCTAAGGAATACATTTTAAATAGAATACTACGATTACTATATACAATATACAAGTGCACGTGGTGCACACAATATATGGTGACAGCAGTAAAGTGAAGTAAAGTGACGTACGATGGGCAGTAGAGTGACGTTATAAAAGGCAGTAAGAGGACTTCTAAAGGGCGGGGGGACAGGTCATGAAGTGTTCAACAGTCCAACAGCAGAGGGGAAGAAACTGTTCTTGTGGCGGGAGGTTCTAGTCCTGATGGACCGCAGCCTCCTGCCTGAGGGGAGTGGTTGGAATAGTCCATGTGCAGGGTGAGAAGGGTCGACTGTGATACGACCAGCCCGGCCTCGAGCTCGGGCCACGTACAAGTCCTGCAGCGATGGGAGGCTGCGGCCGATCACCTTCTCTGCAAACATGACTGTTTCACAAAGAGTTCGCATCCAGGTGTGCAGCAAACTAGTCCAGCTGTGTGATATCACAGACAATCGCTAAAACAATTTTGCAGCAAAAGAGTTCAGTGATGTTTAGTGACAATAAAAATATGATTGCTTGGTTAATGTTTGGAGCACAAAGACAATATTGTAGTTTGCTTATGGCAAATTCCCTGAGTATGTTCCTTAATAAAAGTCAATGAATCACAAACGAGAAATAGTCCATTACCATTTCTTCAGGAAATTTCATTAGATTACACTATTTGTAAGACAAACTCACTCTTTCATAGTTTGATGATTATAATATAGGCTATACTATAGCCTATACTTTAACCATCTTGTGATATATATATATATTCTAATAATATGTAAATCTGAGTTAACATGACCAACAACATTTTCTCTTTCTTATGTGGCCCCTGTAAAAAATAATTGCCCACCCCAAAGAGAGACCGGAGAGGGATTAGAGAGAGACCAGAGACCAGAGAGAGACCAGAGAGAGAGAGACCATAGAGAGACCGGAGACAAACCGTCGAGAGAGACCAGAAATAGAGAGAGAGAGAGAGAGAGAGAGACAAGATAGAGAGAGACCATAGAGAAACTAGACGCCGTAACAGTGGGGCTTTGAGACAATGTCAAGACGTCCGCGGCTGCTCTTTATGGCTGTGTACCAGAAGAATCAATTATCCTCTGTAGTCACTGCTCCTCACATTACGCCATTTCCAGACCGCAGAGAATGGAGCCGCCCGGGGCCCGCGGCGACAGAAGGCAACCACGTGGGACTATTGTGCACTTGTAAACAGCTTTATTAGCCAAGCGCACAGAGGGGCCAGTCCATTGTGCGCCGCACGGCCCGACTGCTTCCACCGCCGCAGGCTGATTCTGACCAGCGCTAACGTCCAGGGACAGGCCCTTTGTCCCATGCAGGCTAATTGAATGCAGGGGGAGGAGGGGAGTAATTAAATTGGTGGGGAGCAAGTGTTTCTGTCTCCGCGGCGCATCTCTTGGCTTATCAGGTCGCTTACATCAGTGCGTAATTATAACGAAGGAGGATATGTAGATTTGTGTCCATACAGGAAGTCAGCAGGACTGGAAGTGAGGAAACATGTGGTTGCTTCCTCACATGATCAAATAAACATGTTTTTCTGTTTGTAAAAGATGATGTTATGAAGTGGTCAAATATGCTTTTTCATGCAGGAATGTATAGGTACTTTTGCAGAGAGAGAGAGAGAGAGCAAAAACCCTAAACTCCTGAATCCTGCCTGAAACACAGAGATGCAGCAGTTACGGTCTGCTTCGATCACAAACAAGGTTTAAAAGTAAAATATTTGAAATAATGATGATATCTGTGTGTCATAACAAAAAGCAGAGAAAATAAAACAGACTTTAAATATAACTCTTCCTTCTGAAGATAATGAAACTAAAGCTGACTGAATGAGGATGCAGCAGTTTCATGTAAAGCAGGACTTTTACAAGAGAGATGAGACTTAATTTTTATCCATACAGGGACAGAGACCTGATTGAGACCAGAGAGAGAGTTAGACCAGAGAGAGAGACCAGAAAGAGACCAGAGAGAAATCAGGGAGAAACGAGAAAGACGAGCAAGAGAAACTGATCTACGAATTTGTCACCTCAAGGCCGCACTGTTATGCCCTGCTGGCAGCGTTGTCCTAAATCCTCCAAATTTTCTAACTCGTCCAAAACACAGCAGCTAGGACAATACAGCCAATAGATATTGGTGCCCCAAAAAATTGAGTTTTGACTTTCCAGGTAAAGGCAAATTATGAAGATCTTAGAAAATCAAAAAATCAAAAATATAGATATAAAAAAAATATTTATATTGGTGCCCCTTTTGGACAAATGCTCCATGTGTTTTTTTATTGTTGCATTTCCTTTGATTTTCTGATAACTACTTCCTCTGGGTAACTACTGTTGTGATTTAGGGCTATACACAAATAAATTTAATTGAATTGAATTGAGAGAAAAACAAGTGACCAGAGAGAGACCAGGTAGAGACCAGAGCGAAAGTAAATGAATATTTTACATTAATCTTGAAATAATGCAGTTGGATGTTTAAATAAAGACAGATTAGAACATGAGCGTCAGACCACAGTTATGTAAAAGAACAATCCGGACAACAATCTTTTAGAAAAATAATTATGCAGAAGTCCAGCGTCATAGCAGCAAAGTGTCAACATCGCAAACCACACGCACAAAGACAGCGTTAACACAACAGGAGGCACATCGTGTAGTTTGTTTACTTGCCGCCTCCACGCGATTGTCAAGTGCCTGAGACGTTTGCAGAGATCCAGTCATCCAACTAAAGTATTCTTTCCTTGGCAGTCTGGTGAATGACAGAGAGTGGAGGAGCTCTGTCTTTTACAGTGCTCCTCAACTCAACTGCAATATAAGATCTCAATGCTAGATGGCACTAAAAATTACACAGTGTATCTTTAATAGACATGCACGGAGGTTTTCAGAAATATTTGTTAACGTTTTCATGAAAAAAATAATGTTTTAATGCACAAAAAAAGCGATCGCGGTAAACCCGGAAGTAGCTATTATCATTAATTAAACATTATAGGACACATCTGCAGAGGATCTGATTATGGATATATGTTCAGTATGTAAATGGGTATCTCAGCACGGATGTTCAGAATTCTTTGTTCAGTTTTCATGTAGTTCCAGAGCCAAATGGAGGCTTGATTCGGAGGCTCCGTGAAAACAAACAACTGAGCATGCGCGCAGCTACGAGCATCAGCGCGATGATTGACAGCCCTTGGCATCAGTTGATTGGTTAAAGTGGACGGCTAAGAGAAGGGAAGGCGGGACTTACCCGTAATATTAGATTTTATAAAGTGACTTTAGTCAGCCACCGATTGTGCAAGTTCTCCCACTTAAAATAATGACAGAGGTTTGTAATTTTCATCATAAAGTACACTTCAACTGTGAGAGACAGAATGTGAAAAAAAAAAATCCAGGAATTCATATTGTTTTAAAGAATTTATTAGTAAATTATGGTGGGAAAAAAAGTATTTGGTCAATAACACAAATTCAACTCAATGGAAGGAGGTTTTGGCTCAAAATCTCACGATACATGGCCCCATTCATTCTTTCCTTAACACGGATCAGTCGTCCTGTCCCCTTAGCAGAAAAACAGCCCCAAAGCATGACGTTTCCACCACCATGCTTCACAGTAGGTATGGTGTTCTTGGGATGCAACTCAGTATTCTTCTTCCTCCAAACACGACGAGTTGAGTTTATACCATACCACTTTGGTTTCATCTGACCACATGACATTCTCCCAATCCTCTGCTGTATCATCCATGTGCTTTCTGGCAAACTTCAGACGGGCCTGGACATGCACTGGCTTCAGCAGGGGGACACGTCTGGCACTGCAGGATTTGATTCCCTGTCGTCGTAGTGTGTTACTGATGGTAACCTTTGATACTTTGGTCCCAGCTCTCTGCAGGTCATTCACCAGGTCCCCTCGTGTGGTTTTGGGATTTTTGATCACCGTTCTCATGATCATTTTGACCCCACGGGATGAGATCTTGCGTGGAGCCCCAGATCAAGGGAGATTATCAGTGGTTGAAATATCGTTGTAGGCTACATTTGGGCTAGCTTTTATACAGATACCGAGTTCAAACAGGTGCCATTAATACAGGTAACGAGTGGACGACAGAAGAGCTTCTTAAAGAAGAAGTTACAGGTCTGTGAGAGCCAGAGATCTTCCTTGTTTGAAGTGACCAAATACTTACTTTCCACCATAATTTACAAATAAATGTGAATTCCTGGATTTTTTTTTTCACATTCTGTCTCTCACAGTTGTGTACCTATGATGAAAATTACAGACCTCTGTCATTATTTTAAGTGGGAGAACTTGCACAATCGGTGGCTGACTAAATACTTTTTTGCCCCACTGTGTGTGTATATAATATAAATATTAGGGCTGTCAAAATTATTGCGTTAACTCACGTTAATTACATTTTTAATTAACGCGTAAAAAAAAAAAATTAACGCATTAACGCAAGTCCGAATGACCCGCCCATTTATCCTTAATATCACTCAGAATGCTGCGTGTGAGATGCATCGGAGCAGGTAGGCCCTCTGGGAATTCATGTTTTAAAAGAACAAGCGCGTCACCGTGAGGCTGTTGTTTGCTGTAAACTGAAGTCCGCCTCCTCCGCGGCCGCTCTGGTTGTGAGCCGCTAACAACAACACGGCTGTGAGTGAATGGCGCCGCGGTAACATGGTCATGTACAGGTAAGACCAAACACGCCACAGAACTATGGTCTGCATGTTGTGTCCGTGTCTTTGCAACCTGTGCGTAACCTGTGCACGCAAATACACGCTAAAGTGTCCCTGTCTTTTCCTGAAACTAAACTCGCTGAATTAAAGCTGGGGTATGTAAATTTCCCCCTTTCATTAACAGCTCATGTTGGTTTTGCCCAAAAGCAAAAGGTTGTGAGCAAATCTAACAGATTAAAGTACATTTGGTATGAATGGCAATGTGTCATTACATTTGATAATCTCATTTAACTTCAATTGGAGTGGATTTGAAATAGAATGTTAAAAATGCGATTAATCGTGAGTTAACTCGCCATTTCTGTGCGATTAATCAACTAAAAAATGTTAAATCGTTTGACAACCCTAATATATATATATATATATATATATATTATATGTACATTTTAAGCTCACTAATGTTCAGTTCTTGTTTATGCTCCTAACTGTCTCTGCTCTCAATAAATAATAAATAAATAAAGTTGCCTTCACCAGTCATTTTGACTCTTCCGTTCCGACTGTGTACAGCAGGCATGTCCAAACTCAGGCCCAGGGGCAAAACTTTTATATATTTTTTGAATTATTATTATTTTCAAGATAGAGATTTTATACTTGTTATTTGATGCTAGAGTTAGGAGATTTTGTTTTATTTCAATTAGTATAGCTATTGTTCACTTATCTTGTGCTGTGTGCTCCTCTTTCCTACTGCTCTATAACTTGTGATGCAACACTGAAATTTCCCCACTGTGGGATGAATAAAGGATCTCTTAATGTTAATATTTATCTCGAAACCTGGAGTTATTCCCACAATAAAAAAATGCTAACGGGGAGCTAAGATCTGTAAGTACCGTGCTACTTACTCGGCGTGTACTGGTGTTAACTAAATAATTATGCTCAGATTAGGGATTGAGGACATATGGCTCGACGTGACAGGTTGCCATTGTTGGAAAAACGATATTCTCAGGTCTGAATTGACTATGCATCGGTGTATACTTCCAAGTCAGCGTCAGGTGGGGGGAGAAGCAAAAGAGCAGAGAACCACTTGTTTCAATTGAGGTGACATCACCTCTATGCAAGAAATGGCTATACATTTTCAAGTTTTAAGTCTTATATGGTGTATCACCCAAATTATTATCATTATCAGAGTGACTGACTTACGGACACACAGGTCTGCGCTCTCAAAGAAGCCGGGGCAGCACTGTGAGCGTCTGCGGTACATGGTCCTCACTCCTCTTCTGTACGCAGTCTTGTAGCTGATCCTGAAACAGACACACGCACAGACACACACACACACCCACAATGACGCACAGAGATACACACACACACAAACACGCATAAACACACACAGGCAGACACACACACACAAGAGAAAAGCTTTTGTGCTTTGTTCATAAACTCTGAAATAATTGTGAAGGACACTGAGGTTTGGTGATATGAGCTGTAGACGGACGGTTTTAGCCAGGCGAGCAGACGCCACTCCCATAAAGTTTAATGTGGTCGTTAGCACGCAGTGCCAAAGTACTCATCAGAAATATCACTGCAAAGATCCAGCCCAGAGGAAGACTGGGCTTCATGTGATTTATGAACCCACAAACTAAAGCTTTAAGTCAGACGGAAAATTATGTGAACTTAAAAAAGCTTGTGTTCATATTTGAGAGTTATGTTTTAGCATTTCAGCAAGAGCCAAAACAGAAAGCAGAGAGAAGGACAAGGCAGAGTATTTCTGTTTGATTTGCTGATATGTTCTTGGTGAATCCACAATTTTGTAAAGTCCTCCAAGACAACTGATGTTGTGATTGGGAGCGATCCACAAATACATTGAATATAAATTGGTATTACAGCCGCTTTTACATAATTACCCTAATTACCAGGTCCAGCTTCCTTCCCCTATGTCGCTTTTCCACAGTAACAGTACGGTACGGCACGGCACAGCACGGCACAGCACGGCACAGTTATTTTGCGTTTCCACTAGGGTTGGGGTCAGGGTTTGGGTACTTTTTTTGTACCACCTCGACAGTGGTTCCAGCCCGGCCGAGTCACGTGACGTCAGCCGACTGCCTTACACTGATTGGTCAACGAGAGTAGTCACTGGACGCGATGTCCGACCCTATTGTAAAAACAACTCAACCCGCCATCTTTAAAACCGGCTGCTCTGCTACAGCTAAAATACGTCCTCCTCACTCCAGAGAAATGGAATCGCACAGAAAACCCCAAAAGTCAACGTCCCGGTCGGTCGACGAGATCCACACGTTACTCTCTTTAGGCCGGAGAAAGAATTCAAAGGCAGCTTAACAGCACAACACAGAGGTTTCACGAGGTTTTCAGGGAGATTGCTCTGGATTTGTGACTCTGTCTGCGTAGGTTTCGTCCGGGTACTCCGGTTTCCCCTACCACTAAAAATATGTACAATAGGTCTGGCATGCGCCTCCTGTTCGCCGACCCTGCTCCCATCTCTGTGTGGAGTGAGAGGACAAGTGCCCAAAAATAACAATTGTAAACCGCTTTGTGACTCTGGTCTGTGAAAGGCGGTATATATATAAAAATTACTTACTTACTTACTTACTCGGTTAGCTAGCTACATTTAGCAATCAATTGCAAGCTAATAAACTAAAACGTACTTCCTGCGCTACTGTGCTGTATTTTGTTCTTTCACGTGTTGCCATTCTGTTTTGTTACGATTACAAAAGTTACGATTTCCTACCATTTACTCTTACTTCTATATACATTACATACATTATATTTGTCAGTAAATCCGTATAACCTTGGTAAATTTATGCACAAGGATGGAGACATTTGGTAAATACAAAAAGGCTTTATTATTGGTCAAAATAAATGTTTAGGCTTATGACATGTAACGCATCGGATAACTCTGCACTCTTCCTCTGCAACACTGCTACACAGGCTGCTGTTGCTACAGCTGTGTCCCATTCTGTCACATGGTCTCTTGCAGATTGTACAAAGCACAGCAGGTCAGCACCATTGACTTCACAAATTCAGTGTCCGAGTCATTTCTTTTAGGCCCCGACTCCACCGGCTGCGTAAAACGTACTAGGTATCTGTCCAAATGTGTCCGTTTCATCTCCGTTTCCTCCGTGAGGGTGAATGGAAGTGGCTCGACTGCCCGCGACATGAGTCCGTATAACGCACATAGGGAGCAGTCCCTCCACGCAGGGTGCAACGGACAAGGACGGACGAAATAGAAACAATCCTATTTTTTACGTACGTCGACGCGTGTATGGTCCGTTTTCCATTGGAAATACAATGGAAAAATATATTTACCACATTATTATACATGTATTGATATATGCTGTAGTCCTTGGTTATAAGTGTTTGTTTATGACAATGATTATTAACAAATGTGTGTAATTTCTTTGTATTAAATTGAAATGATTGTTTCCTGATCGTAAATCTACCATTTATTTTCCGCGTAATGTTAATATTGACTCGCTTTCAAAAAATCCTGGATATGTTGGCGTTCTTTTCTCTTTTGTCTCTCTCCTTTTTCCAATTGCTTTCAATACGTTTTGCCTCATCCATAGCAATGTCCTTGATGCTTCAATATGCATCAGCCAGAGCTGCGCGCTGCTGAAGCCGGTGTGGCCACTATTCCATTTTACGGAGGTCTGACGGGCAGCAGCCTACGCGTGTAAACGGAGACGCGGCCGGTGGAGTCCAGCACTAAGACTGCAGAAAGCAACTACTTGCGCTGTGCTGAATTTTCTATTAAATACTCGCTGTTTGTCACTTGCACGGTGTCCTAAAAAGGTTTTAGGAGCCAGTTCTGCAGGGAGTAAGCAGAGTCCCTTAGGAAGTAATAGCCAGCTGTCACCAATATTATAATAAATCCATGCACCGCAAATAAATGTAAATGAAGTGGTCTGACAACGCTGAGGAGATGGAAAAGCACCCACACTCGACCATGCCATACCGTGCCGTACTGTACTGTTACTGTGGAAAAGCGGCATTACAAACTGAAACCATAAGCTTTATGGAACCTTGTGATGTCACATGAACACAGCCTATGAGGGAATAATTTATGTTTCAATTTAAAAGTAAAATATTTCAAAATTGACCTTATGAATATGTTCACTCAAAAACTGACATAGATAATCATCTACAAATTATCATTCTACTTTTCTGAGTTTCACCTGTCTGACAGGGAATTTACACAGTAGGCGATAACAGTGCGTACGCATTGACTGCGTGCATTTGCGCGTAACATTATTTGGCTGTATGTACACTGGCGGTGCGTGCAGGTCCGCGGCTTCTGATGCTCTCCCTGTGTAGTCTATGGAGAAGTGTAGAGGACAGTACGGGCCAGAAGACTGATGCATGTGTTTGTCTTCATGGTCTCTGTGCGCTGGTTTATGAAAGAAAAAAAAACTATGTCCAGAATCACTGTAAAACCTGCCAGTCCTCCTGCTAATGTTTAGATACAAGTGCTGTGTGTGTGTGTAGATGTTATCTAAAGCCAAGGGCCGCTAGAAAAATCATGTTTCACATGTGTTTTCAATGGGAGACGCGTTGCCGCGCACACAAAATTAGAAATCCCTCCTAGCGTATAACACTAGTAGTGGAAGGGAAGGTTTCTCACCCATCATCTGTACTTCTTAGCAAGTTTTCCCGACGTTTCGTCCTCAACCTGGGGACTTCTTCAGGGAATGAATTCTCGGACCGCGCGTTGGAGATTTATAACCTATGGGTGTGGTAAGCCACACCCTAATCCTGATACTAACTCGTAAACAATCTCAGGTCTGCTTGATGTAGAAGGGAGCAGGTCTAACGACCCTGCTGAGGCTAACGACCCTAACTCCTTAGCATGTCACAGACCTATTGTCTGCTGGGATGCTCAAGTGGAGTGCAGGTCTCACCCCTCCTAACTCATTAGCATGTCACTGACCTTGTCCCAAGTTAGGGCATTGTTTTTAGGATGTCGTCATAGATGCGAGGCAAAACAAATCTTAACCCTCCTCCTCTGTTAAGAGAAGGTTTTTGTTTCCTCACAAAAATGGCTTCTTTCACTCCTCTCTCAAACCAATTCTTCTCCCGAGCCAGAATTTTAACCTCTGTGTCATCCACCGTGTGGTTGGAGGCCTTCAGGTGGAGATGAACAGCCGACTGTGGCCCACTAGAGTTTTCTCTACGATGTTGGTAAAGTCGTTTCTGTAGAGTTTGTTTGGTTTCTCCAATATAGTGGTCAGTGCACTCCTCTTCACTACATTTAATTGAATACACCACATTGCTCTGTTTGTGTCTGGGTGTTTTGTCTTTGGGATGCACTAATTTCTGTCTTAACGTGTTGAAAGGTTTGAAATACACAGGGATTTTGTGTTGCCTAAAGATTCTTTGTAGTTTCTCTGAAACTCCCGCCACATACGGTAAGGACACCCCTCTCCTCCTACTTTCTTCTGTCTGTAGGGCTGTGTCTCTGGCCTTTCTCGTCCTTTGGGCTTTAGTAAAAGACCACTTGGGGTAGCCACATCTGGAAAGTGCTCTCTGAACATGTTTGGTTTCTCTGTTCTTTCCCTCCGAGCTAGTGGGGACCTGGTGGGCTCGGTGTTGAAGCGTTCTAATGACCCCGAGTTTGTGTTGTAGCGGATGATTTGAATCAAAGGCCAAGTACTGGTCAGTGTGAGTGGACTTTCTGAAGACCTCAGTCTCTAATTGTCCGTTCTCCAGTATGATGACCTTACAATCTAGAAAGGCGAGTTCACTCTCCTTAGCATCCTCGCGAGTGAAATTTATAAAAGGGTCCACCGAGTTAATGTGTGCTGAAAATGGTTCCACTTCCTGTTTCTTTAACTTAACCCATGTATCGTCTACATATCGAAACCAATGGCTTGGCGCTGTCCCTTGGTACGAGCCCAGGGCTTGTTCCTCCAGTTTCTCCATATACAGATTGGCCACTATAGGAGAGACTGGGGAGCCCATCGCACAGCCATGAATCTGTCTAAAGAAGGTGCCTCTAAATTGGAAATACGTGGTGTTAAGACACATTTCAAGTATTTCACAGATGTGGTCAGCTGTTAGTTTCGTTCTCTCCCCTAGTGTGGCGTCTTTCTGTAGGCTTTCTCTTACAGCCTCCACCGCCTCTGTAATAGGGACCGACGTAAAAAGCGATGTCACATCAAACGAGACCATTGTCTCATCTGAGTCAAACTGGAGGTGTTTGATTTTATTTACAAATTCTTTTGTGTTTTCTATGTGATGGTGGGTGTTACCCACCAAAGGAGCCAGAATGGTTTTGAGGTGTTTAGCCAGGTTGTAGGTGATAGAGTCTATGCTACATACAATAGGCCGAAGTGGAAAGTTTTGTTTGTGTATTTTTGGGAGGCCATAAATACTGGGGATGGTGTCTCCTGGGTAAAGTTTGTAATATAGTGGTTTTTCAATAATGCCCTCTTTCATTAAGTTCTGAAGGAAGTCTATAATCTTTTTCCTAAACCCACTGGTAGGGTCCCTCTTCAATGGCTGGTACGTGTTGGTGTCCACGAGTAACTGATTAACTTTGGCCTCATAGTCTGAGCTGTTGAGGATAACTGTGCATCTGCCTTTGTCAGCTGGTAAAATAGTTATATTCTCATCCTTTTGTAATGCCAATAATGCTTTTTGCTCATCTAATGAGATGAGACATTGGATTGTGGGGGCTTCGCACTTTTGAGTGTGGCAGAGACTCTCAGTCTGAGGGCCCCTGCCTCACTCTCAGTTAGTTTGTTGTTTCTAATGGCTGCTTCTGCTGCTGTGATGTATTCAATTGTAGGAATATCTTTTGGGGTTATTGCAAAATTTAGGCCTTTAGTAAGAACATCTTTTTCCGCTTGTGATAAATGCCGATCAGACAGATTTTTGACCCAATTCTCCCTGTCCAAGCCTTGTCCAATTTCACTTTTAGAATGTTGAAAAGAATTATGATTTTGGAGTTTTAGAAATTTGCCTATCTGACGTTCTTTGGCCTTCTTGTGATGGTTCAGTTGGGCAGTTTCCGTAAACGTCCAAATCCTCTGAAAAAACTCTGGTGAGACTGCCAATTCCAGTTTGTGCTTAAGGCCCTCTATCTCGTCCTTTAGGTTTATAATCTCTATGTTAAGTCGTCGAATTCTTAAATTGAGAATCTTCATACAGTAGTTTTGTTGTATTTTTCTTGCCAACTGGCCTGTTTCTAATGCTTTTTGCTTTATTAACACTAGTAGTGTTAATATCCCCATTGGTTTACATGTGAAAATGTTACACGCGTCTGCTGCGCGTATAATGCGTACGTGCTGTAACGCCTCCTGTATAAATAAGCAGTGAGGGTAAATAATCTGAAAGAATGTACCCTTTTCAGACTTTTATCACATATTAATAGTTTAACTTGGGTTTGCAAAGAGTACAGTATGACGGCTTCTTACCGGTGACGAGTGCATTTGAACCAGTTGAGGATATCTGTGCAGCGGGTGTAGAACACCTGGTCAAACGGATGAGAGTAGGACTCCTGCACTGTAACCGCATAACTGCAAACAAGGCAAGTTTATTTGTATAATTGTAACAATTAATACACAAAGTAACAAATAATAATAGATATAAAAAATAATCAGAGTGCATTAAAAAGACTGAAGATACAATCCTTCAGTTGTTGCAGTGAAACAGAACTGTTTTTAACCTGGATTTGAACATTGTCAGAGTAGAAGCCTGTCTCACAATTTCAGGAAAACTGTTCCAGATTTTAGCTGCATAAATCTGTCATTAGCTGCCATGTTTTGCCCTGACTCTGGCCACCAGCAGGAGGCCCGTCCCTGTGCTCCTCAGAGTCCGAGTTGATTCACATGGGACTAACATGTCACAGATGTACTTTGGTGCGAGGCCATGGAAAGACTTGTACACAAGCAGAGCTTCTTTAAAGTCTAATCTCTGAGCCACAGGAAGCCAGTACAGAGACCTGAACCAGGACTAATGTGAGAGGACTTCAGGACAGAGACCAAAGTTTACTTTTGGATGCGCTGGAAAACGGCTGCCATTCCTAAACAGTTGTTGTTTTGTGCTTTACAAATTATATTTGTATTGCTTTTTTCCACCCAGGGGCTACTCCACATCTGCTGCCGTGACCTGTCCTACTCCACCCAGAGGCTTCTCTGTCTCTGATGCTGTGACCAGTCTTGCTCCACCCAGTGGCTGCTCCACATCTGCTGCTGTGACCCGTCCTGCACCACTCGGAAGCTACTCCACCACTGCTGCTGTGATCTGAAGGGCTGTTGCTGATTATCACTATTGTTAGATTTTGAGAATTTTTATTTTCATTTATTAATTTTTTGCTGCTACTGGACACCTGAATAACTCCTATGGGGATCAATAAAGTATCTATCTATCTAGCTATCTATCTATCTAGCTATCTATATATCGATCTATCGATCTATCTATCTACTGCATCTATCTATCTAAGACCAGAACTATGTGAGAGGACTTCAGAACAGAAACCTGAGACCAGGACTAATGTGAGAGGTGCAACAGTAGTCTAACCTACTGAAGACAAATGCAGGAGAATAATCTCCAAGTCTGCTTCAGACAATAATTTTGCTGGCAAACACGCACACACAAGAATGTTTGTGAAGACCTCTCAACATGAGAGGTCATGTGCAATGACGCAGGACCACAGAGAGACCAGAGAGATACCAGAGAGAGAGCAGGGAAGAGACCAGAAAGAACCCACAGAGAAGCCACAGAGAGACCACAGAGCACCAGAGAGAGAGACCAGCAGAGAGAGACCCCAGAGAGAGAGAGACCAGAGAAATGCCAGTCCTCAGGATTCAAAAGTCTTGGTCCACAGGAAGTTGGGGGTGATGTGGTCTATAGCGGGTATTGGTGAACAGTATAATGGCCAAAGGGAGTGGAACTTGACTGAACTTTCCATAAATTATTACAGACACACATCAGTTATGGTTGTTTCCTCAGTCTTAAGTTACCTCTCCCAGTGGCTGCAGACATTGGGGTCATCAGGGTTCAAGGCTCCAGACGAGATGACCCAGAGTAGGAGACAGAGCAGCACCTCCAGGCGGCGCCCTCCCAGCCCCATGGTCTGGCCACAGCAGTCCTGCAGGGGGCGACAGACATAAGATGAAAAACCTACTGTACATCCCATGGAGAAGATGTGAGCTTGGACCAGCTCAAAAGTAAAAATATGACGAGACTCTTCTGAAACATGCTATTTCCGTATGTTATCGATCAATGACAGGGGCAGAAGCTGGGCCACCATCACTCTTTGACTGTCTCTGGTTTCTGTGTGTTTGGAGCAGCTCTAACACGGCCCGCATTCTCTGCTTCTGTGAAAAGTCTCATCCACAATGCATTTGATGCATATAGAACAGCCACACGTACACTGTGCTCATGGTGCAATCTCCTCTCTGCACAAAAACTCACAAAAGCCGATGGAAACATGCACCTGCTCCAAACTAGATATTATTCCACTCAAATTGTCAGCTTGTACAAATATAGGCTCCCATTCACTGCACGGATATTACAGGCTGTTTGCCTGCTACCTACTTCTGACAGAAGCACAAAGACCAGAATATGTGTTGAAATGTGGACAGAGATAATTACATATTTGTGGCTCATGGGAAACGGCAGGAGATTGGCACTTTGGCTGACAGGATTGACGACAGCAGGAACAGACATAGAAGTGTTTAGAAGGTGGTCTAAGGATCAGGGTTTAAAGGGGAAGTATGATGAAAATTCCCTTTCCTTTTCAGCATAATGCAACATGACCTCTTTGATAAAGTCTTATCCATTATTCCTGGTCTCTCTCTCTGGTCTCTCTGTCCTCTTTCTCTCTCTCTGGTCTCTCTCTCTATGGGATATCCTCCCTGATAATATAGCTGCCCATTCTTACAGTAAACAGCCTCGAGTTCCTATAAATCCCAGAACTGCCTGGCATTAAATGTACATTTCCCTCTCCACGGCACCGCCTCAATAACGTCATAATTTTAAAACAGCAAAAAAACATGTTTATGTGACAACTTCCAGCTTCATACACACTAACTATGAGTGAGCTGGGTCTGTACACTCACAGACCTGTATATTCACAGTTGATGACTTTGAGATTATTTGCCAATTTCTAAACTTTTCTCCAATTTCTACAAATGCTGCAGCTCTTGTATCTGTCCCACATCAGCGCTCTCACTCTCCTGAGGACACACAAACTGCACAATGTCATTTTTTCTTTAACTTATTTCAGGAACAGGAAGCTCCATCAGATATGTCCCTCAGAGCTGATAACTGTGAGCGCTTGCTTCCACCTGAGATCAGCCCTTTTCATTCTGCTAACGATTGGAAAATGAAAAACTAACCCTCGTACATGCACTCAAAGGTAAAAGGCGTTTCGCATAGTCACTGGTTTAGCCAGACCAGGGGTGTCCAAACTTTATAGTGAGAGGGCCTTGTTCAGGGGCCGACATGGAATGAAAACCTGTTTTAGACCAGTTTCCACCAGCCCTAACTCTACTATGTCCACTCTATTCTAAGTTTCTCTACTCCACTCTACTCTACCTGGTTGCGTAAGTATTAGTGCATTGCCCTAAGTCAAAGGATTAACCAAATAACGATCAGAGAATCAAACAGCAAATGCAATAATTACAAACACATGGGAGCTATTGGTCCATAGGGAGTGGGGTGACCCCGTTCCACATATATAAACATTAAATGTTCAGAAAATGTCCCAGAGCATCACTGTCCTTAGACCCATCTGCATCAGAACCACTCAGAAACCCAGTGGGAAAAAAGGAGAAAACTCAGGGAGGGCCACATTAAGAGAGGGATCCACTCCCCCAGATGGTCAGGCTGTAGATCCAGGACTGAGACTGTAGATCCTGGACTGAAGCTGTAGGTGCAGGTAAAACAGGTCTAGTTCCTGATATTAACATGGATGGAGATGAAAACAACTCCAGGTATTTTTTTGAAAAGAAAACTGTTGTAAGATCAGTGGACATTGACCCAGCTCCAGTCCTCTTTTGGCTCCCTCTAAAACCTCACTGTTGCTTAAATACTGAACACGCCTTTCTCCTCCTGTTCGATGCGAAAGGTCATCGGCCCCAGATTAATTAAAACAGTTGATTGGTTTAGTTCTATACAGGTCTCTAAAGGCATAAACAGGTTATTTACACCACAGCACACGCACTGGAACCTGCACATGTGCGATTGAACTCTGCAGTCTCCAGGGGCTGGACTCGGGCCGTGATGGAGAAGAACAATTTGCTGATGGTAAGAAATCCAAACGTCAATATGAGTAAAACTAAAATAGCCCACAAGAGAATTAGAGGAGAGACTTATATAACATACAGAAAAGTGAAAGAAAGACCAGAGAGAGAGACCAAAGAGCAACTAGAAAGAGAGGTCAGAGACAGACAAGAAAGACCAGGGAGAGACCAGAGAGAGAGAGACCAGAAGAAGGCTTTTTTCAGATTGTCCAGGACCACTACTTTCAGACACTTCCCAACATTTAAATGCAAAGAGTGTGTTTTCAGTGATTTGATGCCACTGTTTGGCTTTAGCTGCAAGTTCCTGAAAGAAATATGTGAAGGAACATTAGCCCGACCCTTAATCACCAGCTCAGGAGCAGGTAGGAGATAGAAAACCTCAGATCGATGCATTGACGAGGGCCGCATAGGTGAGCATTGATCACCAGGATTACCCATGATCCCACAGTCTGCTGCGTCGCCAAATCAACACATTTTTAAAGCAACAGGACATTTGGGTTGCAGGGTTTGGATCACAGCTAAAGATTTGGATAAACAGAATGTCAATGAGTGAATTTACCAGCAGGCAGCCTCTCGTCTCGTCTGTCAATCCAGCAATAAACGGCGGGATGAAGGCTTAAGAATGCCCAGGACTGAAACCGGAATTATTGAGTTTAAAGAGCAGTGATTCACCAGTTATGGAGGCCAAAAAGGAACTGAAGATATCACATGAAATTATTCAAATGTGTTTTTTTATTTTTTTTATCTTTTTTTATCTTTGGTCTCTCATCTCTCTTGGCCTCTACTTACCTCTCCTTCTGTTTCCCTTCTCCGTGCCTCTATCTCTCTCCTCTCTCTTCCCCCTCCCTCTCTTCTCTCTCCATCTGTCTCTTTCCCTCTTCTCTCTCCTTTCCTCTCCTCCTCTCTCTCTCTCTCTCTTCTCTCCCCTTGCCTCTCCTTTCCTCTTCTCTCACCTTCCCTCTCCTCTCCCCTTCTTTCCCTCCCTTACCTTCAGCGGACCCCTGACCCACATGAGTCCCACGTTTGTCTTCCTCAAAGGTGCAAACACAGAGAGAACCGGGTCAGAGAAACGCAGCAGTGTGGAGAAATCCTGAGTGATGATATGTGTGCAGCGTGTACTGCTCACAATAAGCACTTTCACATGTTCTTTATTATGATCGTGTTTTGCAAAAGGAGGAAGGTGTGCAGGAAACAGAAAGAGACTGGTCTCTCTCTAGTTTCTTTCTGGACTCTCTCCCTGCTCTCTCTCTGGTGTTTCTCTCTCTAGCCTCTGTCCATTTTCTATCTAAAGAAGCTGATCTAAAGATATGACAGAGGCCAAAACTTAATGGATGTGAAAACCAGTGCAAACTGTTTTAGAGCAGGACATGGACTTGAATTAATTTTTTTAGCTCTCAAAGTTACACACCCCAGCCTTAACTCATCCGCGCCTAAATAACACATCTCCATAACGCTTGGTACAGCACTTTTTGAGCCTGCAGCGGGTTGATGGTGGCGGGGAGTCTCTTTATAATGAGCTGTACATTAGCTCCAGCTCCGGTCCTTTCTTTAGGCCAGTATCAAGGACGCAGCAATAACAGGGTTTAGCACAAGCTGAGGACGCGTTTTAGCCTCTAGGAATCTAAGAAGACCATAGAGAGAAGACATCTGCCATACAGGACACACAAACAGGCTGACAAGACACGCTGATATGACACGCTTGACTGCTGCCAGGAAATTAAGTAAAATCTCAGCCAATCAGATGACAGAGCAGCGTTAGGGCTGAGAGAGATATCAGAGAGAGAGATCAGCCAGAGATTAGAGAGACTAGAGAGGCAATTCATCCTCTGCATTTGACCCGTCCTGATGCCGCTAAGGCCTACATCAGGAGCAGTGGTCGCCGTAGTACAGCGCCCGGGAACCCATCTCCAGATGTTGATGCTCAGCTTGGTCAGGACCACCAGAGCTGGAGGATTTAGTGTGCATGTTTTTAGTGGTAGGAGAAACCAGAGTACCCGGAGGAAACCTACGCAAGCACAGGGAGAACATGCAAACTCCACGCAGAAAGACCGGAATTCGAACCCAGGACCTTCTTGCTGAGAGGCGAGAGTGCTATCCACTCAGCCACCGTGCTGTCATAGAAAGAGAGAGAGACTAGAAAGATTAGAGACCAGAAAAACAGGGAGAGACCAGAGAGAGACTCGAGAGAGACCAGAAAAAGAGAGGGACTCGACATTTTCCTTTGTGTGAGGCTTTGATTGAAAAAAGAAATCCCAAGGCTCCAGCTTCATTCACTTACTAGAAGAATATGATGTCAAAGTAAGAGTCAGCAGTGGGTGGTTTAAGCTGTGTTTCCTCACAATTGCCATCATCCAAGGCCTCATTGGTTCTTACCATTCAACATCGTAACAAAATGTTTCAGTCTTCACCTTGTGCAGGTTTTTCATCGGACCACAGCTTTTATCCAACATGAAATACAATTATTCAGCGATGACGTAACATGCTGAATTAACTTTTTACAGCTATTAAACCAGAGAGCAGAGAGAGCCAAGAGAGAGAGAGAGTTTAGAGAGAGAGCAGGGAACAGAGAGAGACCAGAGAGAGCAGAGAGACCAGAGAAAACCCAGAGAAAGACCAGAGAAAACCCAGAGAAAGACCAGAGAGATGTAAGAAAAAGGCCAGAGAGAGATGCGAGAGTGACCAGAGAGATGCAAGAATGAGGCCAGACAGAGATGCGAGAGTGACCAGAGAGATATCAGACAGCAGGGAGAGACCCCTCTGTCGGGTCTCCCTCGGGTCTCTCTCTCCTCTCTCTCTGGTTTGTCTGGTCTGTCTGGTTTCCATCTGGAAAAGCTGATCCAAAGAAATTACAGAGACCAAACATACATGATGCGAAAACTAGTTATTTTGTGGTTTGAGAGTTGCTTTAATAAGTATAATCAATATAGCTAAATCTTTTTTTTTTCTAAAGTCTATTGAGCTAATGTCTTGTCATTGATCTCACAAAAGTGTGTTTCTACGGACTTAAGCGACTCCATAAAACGAGCCCTTTAGATCAGTGTCAATGAGGGCAGTGTGTGACTGTAACTGCATTGTTATGTTAGTGCCAGCCCCTAAACTCCCCCATCACTCCCTCTCAACCTTCAGTCTTCCCCCCTCCCCTCTCGGCCCATGCCAGCCACTCGGTACCTTTGCATTGATCTGAGTCTAACTGCTGCTGATGAAGCACGAGGCCTCACCAGTTCAATAAGGGATGTATCTCCCTCATGGATTTTGTGTAAAGGGCCATAAACGTTTGGAAACTACTTTGACTTTGACCGAAAAATAAAAACTAGCAAAGTTTCTCTGCTCTCTCCTGCTTTTTCTGTCTTCAGTTGTAGTTTGTTCATTGCTATTCACCCTCTGTCCCTTTTCTGTTTCACGCCGTGATGATGGGAACCCAGATCCCGGCCTCAGTCCCGGATCTACAGCCTAAAGCCTAGGTCTACAGCCTCAGTCCTGGGTCTACTGCCTCAAACCTGGATCAAGCCTCCTCCTGCTCCTTATGGATCAATGGCTCCTATGTGTTTGTTATTTAATTTCTGTTGATCCATTGTTGGTGAATCTTCAACATTGTAAGAGACAACTGCTGTTATACAAATAAATGTACTTTTCTACCATTATCAAAATAGTCCTTAATTACAACCGTAGAATAAATTCAAAATTCAAAATTAGAATCTCATGTATGCAAAACGTTATAAGGGGATCTGGGTCCCACTCCTCACAGCAGGTGAAACCAGTGTAGCAGGCGAGAAGCTGACACACAGACACAGACACACACTGTAATCTCTGTGGATCGTTGTGGTATTTAAAATGGGACTGCTGCTGGAGACATAAAAAGGAGATAATTTGATGTCAGAGCGTCAGATCTTCAGACGCTGACGTTCCCAGTGCTCACCTCACAGAGTCAAGGTTGAAGGAACAACTCTACAACCAACGGTAAGACTCTAAATATGTAAATGAGGGGGGGAAGCTTTTTTTTCCTTGCCAATGCAGGATGGTCTGTTAGACTGTTAAGCCTAGCGTACATCGACAGAGAAACTGGAGACAACTAGTTGCAAGGCGGCTTTTGGCAACTGAGAGGAGATGGTGGGAGATGATCAGTTGCCAAAATCGGTCGATGTGCGCGCTCTTACAACTGGAGATGATCAGTCGGTCTCCAGTTCCAGTCAGTTGCCCGTGTTCTACTTTTCGGCAACTAGTTGTCCTCAGTTGCCCCGATGTGCGCGCTCCTGGCGCACAACATGTGTTGAGAGTGTTACTATGTGACGTAGGCGCCTGCACGTGACTTGTTGCGCTAAAACAAAGTAAAATGGCGACTGAACATGAATGGACGGAGATTGCGGAGGATGATTTCGTGGCAATGTGGCGTGAGAGACCGTGTCTCTTTGACACATCAATCAAAGCCTACTCCAATAGGAACACTAAACGTGCGGCTCTGGAGGAAATTGCTTTCAGACTCGGCAAAACAGGTAATTCCATCTCGACTTTTTTCTGTTCAATTCATCCATTCATTTATTCGTGACTCGCCTATTCAATGCATATTGTAATACTCCCAGGTAAGAAATGCTCGAACAGTGCTTTTCAAGATGCTTTTAAACACAAACTGTTAGGACAAGCTGTTGGCCACAGCTCACGCTTAACTCACAACACACACTCCCGACGTGTAAACACGGGGAAAAAGCCTCCCACCCCCAGTAAAACTCTCTACCTTAACCAGAGCACTTCCCTGTGGTTGTAAACAGACAACCCAGAACTATTACAATATGATGGACGCGGTACATGAACAGATTCATTATTGCCTCCCTACTTGACATAAATAAGCCTACTGTTTGTTGTCACACATTGTCATTGGATATCAAGCATGCCCGCCTCGAGGACGAGGTAGCCACTCACTAATCAGTCTGTTCTACATTAAATAGATTAGCCTATAGGCATAGCCTACCCTGTTAGTAAAAAGATTGTTTTATTTGTTTTAATTATTCATAGGGTTGGCCTTCAATGCAAAATTATGCTACTGTTATGACTAGTTACACATTACATTCCTTTTACTATAATCCTCTATTTTTTCATATTTACAGTCAAAGATATCACCAAAAAAATGAAGAATATGAGAACCCAGTTCACCAGGCTCTCAAAAGCACCACCCTCTGGAAGTGGAAGACGCGGCCTCACACAGCACCAGCACTGGATTGTGAAGAATTTAGAGTTTCTTCGGCCTTACATGAAATTGAGGGAGACACAGTCATCATTCCAGGTACAATTTTTATGGATGTTCAAATTTAAAAGAAAATGTTTATTAAAAAAGGAGCAAATCAGAAATGAATTTGACATGGTGTTTATTTACATTTTTCAACATTAGCATGAATGCAATCAGATTGTCTATATTTTACTTTCTTGCCAATCAACAGCACCCGCTGGGCTCATACAGAACTCCATCAACACATCACGTTTTGATTTGGGTTGTTGACCACTATTGTTACTGTGATGTATTCCACTAGACTGTAGTTGTGTGTCATTTCTCCAGGTCCCTGGGGTTACATCATGTGTTGTCGATTCTTGGTCCACAAGTCCTTGGCTCAGATAATGTCCATCATTTTTCACAATCAGGAAATTGTGGAGTGCACATGCACACATAACTATGTTCTCCACAACATTTGGTTCCAGGAACATCCTATTGAGAAAAACTCTGAATCGACAACTCAAAATGCCAAAAGCATTTTCAACCACACGCCTAGCTCGAGACAACCGATAGTTGTAAATCCTCTGTTCTTTGTTCATGTTTCGGAAAGGAAATGGCTTCATTAGATCATCTCGTAGGGGGAAGGCATCATCCCCAATAATGTGGTATGACACTGGCCTCTCTCCACCAGGAAGTTGTGTCGGCTCTGGTTTATTTGCCAACCGTCTGTTCAGCGCTTCTGCCAGAGAACATCCAGCAAATACTCCCCCATCAGAGATCCGGCCATTGCATCCAACATCAACATATATGAACTTGTAATCAGCATCTACAAGGCCCAATAGCACAATACTAAAGAAGTTCTTGTAGTTATAGTATAGAGAGCCTGAGTTCTGAGGGGCACGTACAGCAATATGCTTTCCATCCAAAGCTCCCAGTGTATGTGGAAAATTCCATCTTTCCATAAACCTTTTTGATATTGTAAGCCAGTCTTCCTGTGATTGTGGCATCTGAAAGCAAAAAATATTACATGGTTACTTATTAAAACAATTTTATCTATTTCAGTTCGAGAGTAACTCTCAGGACGACACAGACGAGGAAATTGGTTTGTCGTCATCCGACGATGAGAGTACTCGGACATGTGCAAGCCCCACCCCCTCGAGCAGCAGCTTCAATGTAGAAGTCCGGTCAGGAACCAGCACACCGACCTGCTCGGTATCGAGCAAGGAGTTCGACCCCCCTAATCCACCGGCTACTAAAAAGAGGAGGGTGAATCCAGGGCCAACTGAGAGAGCAGCCGACCGCCTAAATAGGGAAAAGATGGCTGTGCTAAATAGCATTGCAGAGAGCATCGCGAAGCCTCTTTCCCTACCAGACATGGAAGAGGAGAGAATGGATGAGGATGATGTTTTTGGCCAGTATGTCGCCAGTCGACTCCGAAAGATAAAAGACCAAAGGACAAAAACTAGGCTGATTGCAGTTCTAAACAATGCCATTTCTGAAGCTGAGCTGTCCATCTTAGACGCTATGATGCCTAACTTCACAAATCAATCACCCCAACAGCCAGCTCACTATCAGGCTGGGGGATACGTGCACTTTTTAAATTCATAAATTCATGTTGTTATTGCTGTGTTATTGCTGTGTTATTGCTGTGTTGTTTGAAAATAAATACTTACTTTCATATAATCATCTTTTAGCACATTGTATATGGCAGAACACGTTTCACGAACTATCTTCCCAATTGTAGTCGATCCAAGCCGGAATGAGTACCCAAGACTTTTGTATGATTCACCTAGAAAACATTACATTTTTACTAAAGTTACATAAGGATTGCAAAACAGTTTATTCAAAAGTAAATTAATCAATTTCAGTACAAACAATTATTCTTCCATTATTAACATAATATAAATCATTCTTACATAAAAGTGAATGTCGACTCACCAGTTGCTAGGAATCTCAGTGTGACTGCCAATCTTTCTCCTGCCGATACTGCCCTTCGAAAATTGGTGTCTTGTTTAGAAATTAATGGCTCCACCTTCTCTAACAACTCAGAAAATTGTTCTGGCCCCATTCGAAAATAATTTTTGTATGAGAGTAGATCAGTTTCTTCCAATTCCCTAACCAGATTTGGGTATGCCCCTTGCTCATCATGACGTGTAAGCCATGGCTTCATCCACAGCCGTTGTCTTTTCTGACCCTCATTGTCTTCATCAAGAAGGATCCATAGAGCAGCAGCAGCAGCTGCATGTTGCCGCCTTTCTTTCTCGAGCAAGTACCTCTTCCTGATATTTAGCTTCATAATCTGTTAAGGAAAGTAAATTACATTTTAAGATTTCATGTTTTGTGTAATACATTCAAATAACTGGAACTATGTATAAGAAAAACATAGCCTAATTTTCTTTTTATAAATTGTATATTGTAACCCTATTGATTAAGATGTATTTTTGGTTTTATTTGTATTAACTAACAAGACTTAGCATTGCAGAGCATAGGCCTAGACAAAGTCCATACAAAACCTGTAGGCCATGCCATATTGACTTGTGTTTCGGAGAGACAGGGCTTCAATAGGATATGTTGGGCGTCCAACATATCCAATCCAATTCATAGATATGGATTGGATTGAATTTGAATTTACATCGTTGATGAATGATGGTTGATGTGTGCCGAGTTGCGATCGGACAGAGAAAATGGTTGATTGAGACAGACTGCAGTCTTTCAACAGATTAAACTTTCAATTATCAATGCTTGTTAGCATATTCATCACATTTCGTGTACTTTCATCAAGAATCACGAGCGCTAGAATTGTATAACACGTAGTGCAAATAGAATTGGTGGGGAAACATACCTTCGACTCGTAGTGCGCCATTTTGGACAGTCACGTGATATTGCGTGTATCTTCTTCCTCTGTTTCTGTTACATTGCGTGTATAGCGCGCCCTCTACAGTTTATGCCAGAAAACACACTAGAGTTGACGGCAGTTGCTGTCGATGTACGCGCTGTTATTCAAGAGACTGGCCTGCAACTCAGAGTTGCCCGTTTTCGCCAGATTGTCGATGTGTGCGGGGCAGCAACTCAGAGGCGACGGATATAATCAGTTGCCAGTCCGATGTACGCTAGGCTTTAGTGGTCTCACAAAAAGGACTGTGGTGATGATCCAGGACACATTCTACAACATTTATGGACATTTATCCACATACATTGACATTGGTCAACTCCCCGCTTATGGACCAATACCTATGATTTTTATGTTTTTTGTGTTTTAACTGTTTTAACTATGCGACAATGGAGAGCTTTAAATATGTGACAGAGGAGAGCTTTAAGCCTAGCGTACATCGACAGAGAAACTGGAGACAACTAGTTGCAAGGCGGCTTTTGGCAACTGAGAGGAGATGGTGGGAGATGATCAGTTGCCGAAATCGGTCGATGTGAGCGCTCTTACAACTGGAGATAAACAGTCGGTCTCCAGTTTCAGTCAGTTGCCCGTGTTCTACTTTTCGGCAACTAGTTGTCCTCAGTTTCGGAAATATGACCCAATGTGCACGCTCCATGCGCCGCTCAGTTTATGCCAGAAAACACACTGTAGTTGAGGCCAGTTGCTGTCGATGTCCATCCATCCATCCATTTTCTACCCTTTAATCGATTTCTGGGTCAGGGGGGTGGCAGTCAGAGATGCCACCCAAGTCTCATAGCACCAGCCCCTCACTGACCCTCTGCAGGTGGTGAGTCCACAGGAGGACGGCTGCTCTCTGAGTGTGAGCATAGCCTTGATCTTTCAGTGGGGGCTTTGGGCAAAGTGGGGTTAAGTGTCTCGCCCAAGGACACAACGACAGCAGTCATCAGTGGGAGTCGGTGGAGAAGGTGCAGAGGTGGGAATTGAACCCACAACCTTCTGGGCTTAAGGCCAATGCTCTACCAACTGACCTACTGTCGCCCTGCTGTCGATGTACGCGCTGTTATTCCCGAGACTGGTCTGCTACTGGGAGTTGCCCGTTTTCGTCAGATTGTCGATGTGTGCGGGGCAGCAACTCATAGGCGACGGATATAATCAGTTGCCAGTTCGATGTACGCTAGGCTTTAAATATGTGGAGGAGAGCTGTAAATATGTGACAGAGAAGAAATGCTTTAAATATGTGACACAGGAGGAGAACCTGCCTTGTCGTGTATCATAACGCTATAAAACTAATGCAATGCGTTGCAATCAGTGATAATACTAGGACCAGTACGTTTTCCTCTATACTGCTGAGGTTCTCTTCATATCTGTCATCGTTCAGGTCAACCCCTGGTTACTGAGCAATTGGACTTTACCTTTACACTTCACCACAAGCACTTCCCTATTAGGTTACATTGAGCTGGCGGGCTGCATACACTCTATGATGTGAGGCCAAGCCCTGGGTCTCCAAGATATCGGCCCCACAGCTTTTCCCTTATAGAATAATAAAATAATGACATTTTTGATGGAAGACCTCTGTAATAACAGGTCCCCTTTAACGGTTTTGAAAAAGAAACAATTTGATGCATTTAGCTGATCTAAAATGTGACAGAGGCCAAACCACATGATGTAGAAATGGTGATAGAAGCAAACTGTTTTAGAGTATGAACTAGAGACATGGAGTTTATTACAGAGTTCAATGTTTTGGGGTTTAAAAGTTAGGAACCCCAGCTTTAAATGAACGTTAGATGGGATTAGTCATATCACCCCCTACTGGGCTCCACAAGGGCCACATCTTCATCTGAAGGAAATCTGACAGGCGAGAATTAAAAAGGATCATAAGCCCTGTTTCCACCAGCCCTACTCTACTCTACTTTACCCTTGGGAGTGTTTCTCTGGTCTCTCTCTGGTCTCTCTCTGGTCTCTCTCTGGTCTCGTTATGGTCTCTCTTTTTGATTCCCCTCTGGTCTCGTTATGGTCTCTCTTTTTGATCTCTCTCTGGTCTCTCATTCTGGTTTCTCTCTGGTCTAACCTGGTCTCCCTATGGCCTCCCTCTGGTCTCACTCTGGTCTCTGAGAATACCTAGTGGAAGTAAACAGGATGTAATATCTTCCGAACGCCGCGTTCGGTCTTGTGCACACCACTTGACATTAATGAGTTTTCTGGTTCTCCTTTTCTGGTATTTTTGTAGATGGGTTAGGATTATGACTAATATCCAACTGTATTTCTGTTCTGAACTCACTGCAGCTGTAGCCTTGTGATATATCTGACCAACATTACTGATTTTCAATTTCCTGTATGTTTAAAAAGTCTAATTTCTAAGACAGAAATTTCGAAAGAGCGAAATATGAAGCCATTACATCAGACACAGAGACCAGAGAGGCCAGAGAGACCTCAGAGAGACCAGAGAGAGATCCCAGAGAGAGACCAGAGAGCGAGACCAGAGAGAGACCGAAGAGAGAGACCAGAGAGAGACCAGTGGTTGAGGTCAGCATAACGTCCTAAGTGCTTCCTGGTATCCTCTTTCTCTTGGTCTGGTTCTTGTTGCATTGTCCTCACCCTCCAGCTACAGTAATGTCTCCTTTCTTCATCTGGCCTTCAGCCGTTGGCAGCGATGGTAATGGTCACTTCCCTCACACACAGCAGAGCACTTAAAAGACTGCTTTCACAAAGAGCTTTCTCCTTAGGCTTTTGTTGGGATGTTGGAACAGTGGCTTTTTCGCCTTGAGTGGAGTTTGTGGTTTTTTGTTATTTTAAGGAGGACATAACCCACAGAATAGACTTGTGAGCAGCTATAGTGAGCTCCTATGGTTGTTTAACCTGTTCAAGTATATCAGAGAGATCCATACATGTCTCACCTCGTTCAGAGTGAGAAAGACAACTTGAAGAGAGTTCCATTTTAAAAGAGAGGAGAGGAGAAAGGAGTGAGAGATGTATTTGTGTATAAGATGTATAAGAGAGATTTTAAAAAATAAATCAAATTACTATTAACAAACCTTTTTAGTCCTTTTTTGACATGATATTTACAAATTGTCTGAATCAATGTAGACAAACTCAGACATCTCATTACAAATGATACAGAGATGAAACAAGTAACAAAAGAACATATTTAAGAATCATAATGCAGAATACGTTCAGTTGGAGGAATCACATACTTTTTACAATGGCAAAAATACATAGCCAACAACCTATGAATTTGGGGGTGACAGTGTGGGAAAACACATATGAAACTAACACAGAAAAAATGGCAAAGTGACTTGCCATTGCTATTGCAAAGTGAAATAGGGAACAGTAAACCAATAAACCTTTACGAACTTCAAGGACTTTGTAAAGTTAAAACTGCATGATTCAGAACCTGTTTCATACTAGAATGTATCTGCTGAGAGGGAGAATTGTTTTAAAAAGATTCAGATTCAGCTTCAGCTTCCATTTATTTGCCATTTGCAGTAAAACCACAGTGTGCACCAGACAAACACATAAATAAACAGTAAGGGCAGGCTCCTTTTGTGGCACTGGCACATGCCACAGCAGATCAGTGACATGTACACAACAAACTTGTCGTCCACATGCCGTTTTAAATGCCATTTGTTGTCCACATGCTGCTTTAAACAGCATTTTGTTCACATGCTGTTTTACACACCATTTGTTTCCCACTTGCCGTTTTACACACCATTTGTTGTGTACATGTCATTGATCAGCTGTGGCAGGTGCCGGTGACACCCTTTCTGCCCTTTCTCTAAATAAAGCTAAACTAAAAAGGTACAAGAAACACTGTGGAACCTGTAAACCCGAATTAGTTATCATTACTAAAGCCGTTTTGGGTAACCGATTGCAAGAAAGATTTTAAGTTTTTACAAAATCAAAAACTTTAAGCTTTATGTCATGTTAACGCAGAACGATCACTGGGAAAAGCCTTGATCCACGTCATCCGCCTCATTCGATTGTTTTTTATTTAAAATGTTCTCCTTTATATGAGACCACAGTGGGAACACGGAAGAAACTCTCTATTCGCGTGGTTGCTACAACCGTACACCGCACAAAAAGATGGCCTTTTGACTGCGCTTCTCCTTCTACTACATCTCTGTGTATATACCCGGTAGACTGCACCCCCAGGATACGGCACGTCCGGTCCCGTCCCATATATGTCGTTTGCGCCAACGTCATATGAAATTGTTGACGATTATTGACGCATTAGGTTTAAAAACTCAGTCCATACATCAGACATCAATGACATAAGGTGATTGTGCATTAGTGTCAACAAATGCTATTTGTGTATTGTCTGTTTTTGTGTGTATTGTCTGTTTTGTGTGTATTGTCTGTTTTTTTTTTAAATGTCATGTCTGTATCTGTGGGTGCTACTGACCCCCACCCCCTGCTCCAAGACACATTTCTCCCTTGGGAGACGACATAATAAATGAATCTGAATCTAGTTCAAATACTGCGATTGGTAGAACCTCTAGCTAGTGATGTGCTGAGCGTGCCGAGTCTTCAAAGCGTGTACCAAGTAATCAAGGGGAGTTTTTTTTTAAGCGTGGGTCGAGGCGTATGTTGGTGACGTATGTGGTGATGTTGGAAGCCTAGCGTAGCGGCCGCACCTGGTGACGGTTCACTGAGGCGCTTCATATAGTTCGGAGTGCATTACTTTGACAGGTTCTGTTTCATACAGTGCCTTGCGAAAGTATTCGCCCCCCTTGAACCTTTCAACATTTCGCCAAATTTCAGGCTTCAACCATAAAGATATAAAAATATTTTTTTTTGTCAAGAATCAACAACAAGCAGGACACAATCGTGAAGTGGAACAACATTTATTGGATAGTTTAAACTTTTTTAACAAATAAAAACTGAAAAGTGGGGCGTGCAATATTATTCGGCCCCCTTGCGCTAATACTTTGTAGCGCCACCTTGTGCTGCAATTACAGCTGTAAGTCGCTTAGGGTATGGCTCTATCAGTTTTGCACATCGAGAGACTGGAATTCTTGCCCAATCTTCCTTGCAAAACAGCTCGAGCTCAGTGAGGTTGGATGGAGACCGTTTGTGAACAGCAGTCTTCAGCTCTTTCCACAGATTCTCGATTGGATTCAGGTCTGGACTTTGACTTGGCCATTCTAACACCTGGATATGTCTATTTGTGAACCATTCCATTGTAGATTTGGCTTTATGTTTTGGATCATTGTCCTGTTGGAAGATAAATCTCTGTCCAAGTCTCAGGTCTTTTGCAGACTCCAACCGGTTTTCTTCCAGAATGGTCCTGTATTTGGCTCCATCCATCTTCCCATCAATTTTAGCCATCTTCCCTGTCCCTGCTGAAGAAAAGCAGGCCCAAACCATGATGCTGCCACCACCATGTTTGACAGTGGGGATGGTGTGTTCAGGGTGATGAGCTGTGTTGCTTCTACACCAAACATATCGTTTTGTATTGTGGCCAAAAAGTTCAATTTTGGTTTCATCTGACCAGAGCACCTTCTTCCACATGTTATGTGTGTCTCCCAGGTGGCTTGTGGCAAACTTTAAACGAGACTTTTTATGGATATCTTTGAGAAATGGCTTTCTTCTTGCCACTCTTCCATAAAGGCCAGATTTGTGCAGTGCACAACTGATTGTTGTCCTATGGACAGACTCTCCCACCTCAGCTGTAGTTATCTGCAGTTCATCCAGAGTGATCATGGGCCTCTTGGCTGCATCTCTGATCAGTCTTCTCCTTGTTTGAGATAAAAGTTTGGAGGGACGGCCGGGTCTTGGTAGATTTGCAGTGGTCTGATACTCCTTCCATTTCAATATAATTGCTTGCACAGTGCTCCTTGAGATGTTTAAAGCTTGGGAAATCTTTTTGTATCCAAATCCGGCTTTAAACTTCTCCACAACAGTATCTCGGACCTACCTGGTGTGTTCTTTTGTCTTCATGGTTCTCTCTGCGCTTTAAACAGAACCCTGAGACTATCAAAGAGCAGGTGCATTTATACGGAGACTTGATTGCACACAGGTGCATTCTATTTATCATCATCATTCATTTAGGACAACATTGGATCATTCAAAGATCCTCACTGAACTTCTGGAGTGAGTTTGCTGCACTGAAAGTAAAGGGGCCGAATAATATTGCACGCCCCACTTTTCAGTTTTTCATTTGTTAAAAAAGTTTAAATTATCCAATAAATTTCGTTCCATTTCACGATTGTGTCCCACTTGTTGTTGATTCTTGACAAAAATTGTATTTTTTATATCTTTATGTTTGAAGCCTGAAATGTGGCGAAATGTTGAAAGGTTCAAGGGGCCCAAATACTTTCGCAAGGCACTGTATGTTGCTTCAGCCCTTTAGGCTTCGCAATTGCATATCTCTCGGAAGCACCGCTTCCCGCCCTAGGAAGATCAAACGATCCACCGCTCCAATCACCTTGACGTCCTGGCGTAGGTCAGTCGCCTATAAATAGGGCCATGCACCACAGCTCTTCTCCTTTCGAACTCAGCCGAATAAGAGAGGGCAGGCCTGCTGGTCTCGAAGCTAAAGGGCTGAAGCAACATATTCATAGAACCTTAGTTACATTAGGTAACTGGGGTTTCAATTTCATTTGTTGCTTCAGCCCTTTAGGCTTTGTTATTGCATAACATAGCGAAGCCCAGACCAATGTACTCCCAGCAGACATGAACTCCAGTGATTGGAGTAAACCCGTGACCAACATGCTCATGCCGCAACCAAGCGGTAGAGACGGAGGTCCTACAAGCCACAGGAAAAGGGATGCAGGGCCACCTCTCCCAAGAGTGCCCGCACATTCCCCAACCTGCAAGGCAGGAAAGATGATTTAGAACCAACCTGGGCAGGCAGCCTCTCTCAAGAGCGCCTGATCCCCAGGAAAGTAAAGCAGACTGCAGAAGGGTCTATGCCGCCTCTCCCAAGAGCGCCAAACCCAGTCAACCTATCCTCACTGCAGAGGTGTCCAGGCCGCCTCTCCAAGAGTGCCCACACCTCTCCACACAACCCTCCTCCTCCAGACCGGTCCCCACCGAGGTCTGTCAAAGGAGGAACTAGGGCCGCCCTGCACTCAAAACCGAATGAGCGAATGAGTCAGAGGCGACATCCAGTAGGTAAAACTGCACAAAGGCCGAGGAGGAGGACCAAGACGCCGCCCTGCAGATCTCCTCCACCGAAGTGTCACGGAACAATGCCGAAGCGATAACCCCGCGAGTGGAGTGAGCCCTCAACTGGGCCGGAGGCAGCAAGCCTTGAGCTTCATACGCCAAACGGATATCGAGGCAAAGCCAGTGGGCCAAGTGCTGTGGAGACAAGGCGGCACCCTGACTCCTGTTTCCAAACCCCACAAACAACTGATCCGACCGTCTGAGGTCAGACGTGTGGTCCAAATAGCATCTCACAGCCCTGACCGGGCAGAAACTATGCCGCAGCTCTTTCTTCGCCGAAGCATGCGGAGGAGGGGAAAACGGTCTCACCATGATCACCCTAAGCAAGGACTGGAGAAAAGCCAAGACCTCCTGGATGGAACACAAGGTGGGGTCCAGGCCCCTGTACACGCACCAAGAGGCGAAGAGTTTCCAGTGAACCTCATATGCTTTGGTGGTGGATGTAGCCCGCCCACCCTGAATAGTAGCGACCACCAAGGGAGGGAGACCAAGGCTCAACAGTTTCCCCCTTTCAGCCTCCAAACCATGAGCCTGCGTCCCAGGACAGGGCGTGAGTAAAGGGCTCCCCCTGCCTGTCTCAGAGCATCAGGACGGTCCGGAATGGGCAAAGGCGGACTGAGCGCCATGCCCACCAGGTCCGGATACCACCTGGCTCCCAGGCTGTCCGGTGCCACCACCAGGATGGAGACCCCCTCCGTCCTCACCCTGTAAGCCGGAGAGGCGGGAAGGCGTAGAGGGGGCTTGTTGCAGGACCTGAGTGAGAACCAGAGTGAGCACTGTGCGTTCTCTGCACTTGCGAAAAGGTCGGCTACCGGTGACCTCTGCCATGACCGCTGGAGCGAGACCCCACTCGTCCAGCAAGGCCCCGCTCCTGGACATCCTGTCGGCGGCCACGTTGCGCTCGCCTGGGATGTGACGGGGCCTTAGAGAGGCTAGGCTTTTGTCCATATTGATCACAAACCCTAGGTGGGCAACGTGGTTCAACACTCTGGACGTGTGATCCTGCGCCTCCTCCCGAGAAGAGGCCAGGATCAGCCAGTCGTGGATATACGTCAGTATCCTGAGGCCCTGACGGCGAAGGGGTTATAGCGCCGCCTCCAAACACTTGGAGAAGGTGCGGGGGGCTAGGGTGGTGTAGGGAGGATCTTCCGGAGCAATGGGTCTGTGGAAATACACGTCCCTGAGGTCCACGGAGGTTATCCAGTCCCCAGTCGCTTGGCTATACAGCCATTGAGGACGCGTAGGTCCAGAATAGCCCGCACCCCCCGCTCTTTTTGGGGACTATTCGAGAGTATAGCCCTGTCCCTGCCCTGAGCGGGTCTACCTCCACTACCGCGCGGCGCTCCAAAAGCGCTTTGACTTCCCTGTGAAGTGCCACAGCGCTAGACAGTCTTGTCTAGAGAATGCCAAAGAAAGGAGGGGGGCGCTGGGAACTGGAGAGCGTAGCCCCGACTCAGCACTCTGCGTATCCACAGTGTTTCCAGGATGGGAGGAGGGAGTAAGGCCAGGCCCGCCCACAGATGTCCCTCCTGGGGAGGCATTGGATAGTGGGGGGCCACTGGGGAAAGGGCCGAGCCCTAGCTGTGGCCCTGGGCCTTTTACCGGGTGGCAGCGTGAAGGCAGGCGCGCTGCGCTTACGTGGAACCGAGCCCCCGCTCCCCAACACTGTGGACCGAGAGGGGGCCGAGCAGTTCCACTCATTGCTCTGGAAAGACCACTGACATGTGTAACCGCTCACTGCGCCACAGGGAGAGGAGCGCCTAGTGGGACCGTGGCGAGCTGGTGCTGGTGGCGCACAGAGAGCGTAGAGGGGAACGTGCAGCCACGCACTCCCTGGCCAAGGGAGTCTACAGGCGTACTCCATCCTCAATGGGAGGAACGCCTGACTTCCAAGGCCAGGCCTCCACACCCGCGTATACTCCATACGCTAGCGCCGGAGGTTTGGCGTTCATGGGCCTATCCCCTCGCGGCTGGCATAGTGCAGCAGAGGCTCCAAACTGGGAGCTACCACGTCACGTCTGCGCTGCTGGGGGGAAGGAGTGAGGGACTGAAGATAGTCCACCGGAGGCGAGGCGGGCTGGACCGGCATCGCCCTGACATCTCCAAAGAACCAGGCGAAGCAGCAGCAGGGATAGATGGTGGCACAACATGCCACCATGGGCACCACTCCAGGGATGGAGCGAGGAGAGTAATGTTATTAGTTAGAACAACCCTCTGTTATGCATTAGCATTACACCTGTCCAGCGTGGATAGAGGGTGGCACAGCATGAGCAATGCCACCATGGACACCACTCCAGGCGGCATTGAGTAATCCACTGCGTCTATCGCGCGACAAGCCACACAATTGGGGTTCTCCCCCGCGGCAGGACGCCATCCCAGGCACAAGACGCCAGACTCGTGGCGGTCACCCTAGGAGACTGCCCCCGGGCACAAGTCGCAGATCCACAGCCTGACACCGGAGGGTGGCAAATTCTCAGGCGCGGGGATCTTGCTTGAAGACATCCTATCAACTGAATCGAAGCTTCTCTTAGGCAAGCTGAGAGAGGGGTTTGTTTTGTGATCCGTGGCTGTACCCGCCTGTCTCTGTGTGCGTGATGTAGAGCAGTCCTGTACCTAAGTATAGCAAATCTACTTCATATGAAATATAATTAAAAACGTTTCACTTTAGTAAAACCTCAATTTCATATATCCAGGTTTGCCTTAATGTCACAATGTTTTACTTTTGTTTAAGTTAATAATACGTTGGTACACGAATTACTTAATAGATTTGTGGCGGTGTCGGTAGTTGCTAGACAATGTTGAAGCTATCTGGTTGAAATCCCGCTTGACATCAGTTTTGTATTTGCAAAGTAAATATATTTAATTAGTGGGAATAAATGGTTTGTTGTGTTTAATTAATCCAACTAATGGGGTTTTTTCCTCAATTAAACACTTTTTTGTACTGCTTTTTTGTAACTGCTTCAGATCCAATATGTTTGTTGTTTCAACACAATTGACTGAAAGCCTCAAATAGTTCATAGTTCATGAAGCATCATTTCTAACACAAGATGCTTAGGCCATAGACTGTAAATATTAACATACCACCACCGCCAATTAATAGGCTGCAAACCCTCAATGCTTCATGGGGCTTCATATTGCCATCACTACCTCTAGCAATTGCTTGGATTAGTGAATAATATGCAGTGAAAAACATGTTATCGGAGGAGGTTGTGCTGGAGCCTGTAGACCGTAGCGGTTGAGATTTGAACAGTGGCTAAGCCCCGCCCCCTCGCCTGTATGAACCTAACGTGTTCTCCTGTGAGAGCACAGAGCTCTGAGTGCAGTCAAGACTGGGATTCACATGTAAATACAGCACAGCTTCTTTAGTTCTCCATTGAGATTTGTTAAAACTAGAAATTATTGGTAATTATTATTAAATACACATTAAGCTGAAAAAATATAGGGTTTACAGTGTCATCGACCTAAACAGCTTCAATAACAAGATTCAAGTGCAAGATTGTAAAAGTGCTTTGCTCAAATTGATGACAGCTTGTGGAAAGAAGATGTCCACCATCTCAGACATACGTTTTTCGACCGAATTACTTAGGATAAGACAATTAAAAACAGAGCAATAATCAATGAACAACATTTTTGCAACAGCTTTAAAATTGTCCAAGTTACTGTACACAGATTTCAGAGCAAACAAGATTGTATCCTCAACAAACTGGAGATCTGGAGATTCCTGGGTCAACACTCACAGGGATCTGGCTCTTAATGAAGTCCAACACAAGCCGCAGATGTTTCCGTTTTATGTTAACTAAAAGGACAGTGTTTTGAGCTTTAGTCTTTAGTCTTTCAGACCTTATGTACTATTGTATTTTGGCAAAAAATGTCTGAAACTGTCAATGGTTTGAAATTCTGACGGTTTTCAGTCCATTGAAACTTGCAAAAGATAAATTGAAATTAATCTTCCAGACCAGAAGTGACTTCAGCACAAACTGTTTCCCATTTTCTTTTCTGAATCTGTGTCTTTTGTGGCGTCCCTGCTTCAAAATGAGTGTGTTTGTGGGTTTAAACCAGAGAACAGTTCGAGCTCAGACGACAGCTGACTTTTCCAGAACATTCTTCTGCAGAATCTTAAACGTTGGATGGAGGCTCAAATCAAGCTGCCAGTTAAGAGACACAAGACACAAGAGAGAGACGGCGGAAATAGATAAGTTTGAACCTTGAATATATCACACCAGGGACTAGAGAGACCAGAGAGAGCCTAGAGAGAGATCATACATAGAGACCAGAGAGCTGGTAGAGATGTCTGAGGAAGTGGAAGTCTGGTCTATGCTCGGACAGCTGTCCGTGATGAATCCAGATAAAATAAAATGGAATATAAATGATTTTCCTCTTTGTCCTGTAGAAACGGCTCAACGGCAGCCATCAGCATTATGATTCCTTTTTCAGATTCCATCGGAGACTTGACCCCGGCTCCTGTTGTACAGTATATTTGAAAGGGTTTAATTAGAGTAAGAGCCTGCATTACTTCTCCTGCAGCTCCACTTTTGTGACAAACGCTTTCATGACGCATAGACTTTTAGAGCCACAAACAAAAGCTGTGTGCTGTGAACGTATTTCTGTAAGTGTAGAGCAGAAACAATTCCTTGAGTAACTCCAGTAATTCGAATACATAATGTTAAAGTTATTTTTGCTGCTTCGAGACTTCGTATAGTTTGCTTTGTTTACTAAATCGTAGTCAAAGCTCACGTTTCGCATGGATTCTTTATGTGTTGCACAACATGTGTATGTCACAGATCCTGCATGTCCTGCACTACACAGCGCTGGTCTTTTAAATACTTGCCTTGCTTGTGTTGGCAAGACTTTTTCCCCAAAATAGCTCCATAGACTGTACCTAGCTCACAATACAAGATGATGCAGAATGCACTGGGCAAGAGCAACAACAAAACGGGGGAATTAATAAGCATCAAAGGCATACCACAATGGCACTACTTAGATGCTTCTGCACCTGTCGAAAAAGCATCCGATTGAGGGACGATCCGAGATTAGGTCAAGTAAACGTTGAGAGACAACACTATTCAGTGTTTTGGATCTTTTCTCACAAATGTGTTAGTCTTGTATGTGCACCCTGTAACCTTATGAAATAATAAATGATATGATATGTAGATATATATATATATATATATATATATATATATATATATATATATATATATATATATATATATATATATATATATATATATATATACACAGTCACCGGACCAGATGGTTTTGGGGTGAGTTGGACCACAGAGTGAAGGCGAAAGGGCCAACAAGTGCACCTTGGGAACTCCTTCAAGACTGTTGGAAGACCATTTCAGGTCTACCTCTATAAGCTCATCAAGAGAATGCCAAGAGTGTGTGAAGCAGTATCCATCCATCCATCCATCCATTTTCTACCCTTTAATCCATTTCTGGGTCAGG